GGGCCCCGCCCGCCACGCGGCCGGGCCGGGCCAGGCCGGGAACCCTCGGTGGGCTCGGGCTCCCTGAAGGGAAGTGCCCCGAGTTCGTTCTGGCCGAGGAGGAACGCTCTCCGGCTGCCACTCTTTGGGCTTGTATTCGGTTTTCCACCGAGCTCAGCAGAATTTTTGAAGAGCGGGGAAAGTTATGAGTTCGCGTGCCGAGTGCCTACAGCGTCCTGTACGATGCAGCGGGCGCTTGGAAAACGAGACACTTTTGCCCAGCAGTTTCGTGCTGTAATTTTCCCATAGTGCCGAGAGAGAGGTGCAGGCACTGTCCCGCGCCTCTCTTCCATCACCTCCTCGTTATTATCATAACGTGTTTATTTTACCCATTTTGCTTTTTACGTGGAGCCAGCCCTGAAACCCCTTACTCAGGAAAACCTCCCAGTGACTTGGGATGATGTTTGCCCGGGATAATGTCTGCACGATGCGGATCCCTGATGGTTCAGCGTTACAATGAGCGTGCTGTCTCGGTACAAAATTCAGTACCGTGTATTCACAGCGCTGGAAACTTGGCTTTCTGCAGCAGGATGCCCGCCTGCCTTGTTGACAGCTGCCTCCCAGAGCAGAAGGGATGTACACTGAGGATGGACATTAATATAACTGTTTTCTTTCATGACAGCTGTGAGTTAGGTGACTAACTCCGTGTCTTGCAGGACTCCTAATTTTTCTTCAGATGTATTCTAAAAAGACATACAGTCTACATGACTTCTTTCTGGCAATTTATAAGACACTGAGTAGTGAATTGTAGGTGCTCTTCTTTTAGTGTTTTCAAAGGCTGTTATTGTGCTTTGTTACTGGGAAATAATTTCGTGTTAACTGGTATCAGAAGCTGTCACGATCCACTAACACAAGCGGGAGTCTTGAGAGGTTCATTTGATCTCAGAGTGCAAAAAGGGCTCCAAGGGATTTCAGTTTAAATCACAACAGCAATGCACCTTTATTTTAGTGCCAACAACAGGGGTTATGTGATAGATGAGAGGGAGAGAGAGAGAGGGGGATAAGTAGACAAAGTAGAAAGAAAAGAAGGGGGGGTTATAGCTACCAATGGATGACACAGAGTCACCGGTGTCTTCTTCCATGGGGAGATCTCTCTCAGAAAGTAACTTAGAAAGTCACTTTTATAGTCTGTTTCAAAGCGAGGGGCAGTTGGCCAAGAGGTGGGGAAATTCATAGGCTATTGTGATGAGACCTGTTGCTCTGGGAAGCAGGTGTAAGGTACAGAACAGGCCGCTCTTCATGAGTCCCTGCTCACCAGCAGGAGAGAAGGCAGTGTACCGTGGCAGCACAGCAAGCACATCTGCAAAGAATCACTTGGCAAGCATCCACCTCAACCAGGTCAGAACCCCTGTACCAAGACCCTTGGGGTCTTCAGGGTCTTAGTCTCTGTTCTTGTGATGGTCATGAGGCAAATGAAGGAAACATGGAATATGATGCTATGATACTTGAGTTTCCTTGAATGCAGTCGCATGGCTGAAACCCACAGTTCCCTGGATGAACATGTTCATTCATTTGCACGCACTTTCTTTTTTCTTTCTGTCTTGTTTTCTGCTGCATAAACCTTTTAACGCTGTATTTAATGTTGTATTAAACACCGTAACCCAAAAGAACCAATAAATCGGCTTTTAGGATCAGCAGCTGGCATTTTAGCTCATGGGTTTTGCTCATATCATGATATCATTTATTACATCCTCATCAATATGAACCTTTAACTGGAAACTAATAATGGACTCTTTGTTTCTAAAGTTTCTGAATGAAGAGTGATAGGAGCACAAGAACTGGATGAATCAGGCTTTTCCATACATAGCTTCCCAACTTAAATTATGCTTTTGGACCTCTAAGACAGTGTGGTAGCCAGAACGTAGGCCTCAAAAACAGTGACTGCCCCTCATATTATGAGTTCCTTAAAAATAGATGTGAAGTTCACTGTATTTGTTAGTGGGTTTTTTACAGGTAAGTTCACCCTACTAAGTTCTATTTGTAAACTATTCTTTGAATTGTAACAGCTAGAGATTATGTATATTGAAACATGTAGAAGTAGAAATTCTAAAATCTGAGGCTTTATGAAAATACAAAACATTTGTTAAAATCACCAGGACTAGCCTTAGGAATGGGGGGAAAAATAACAGAAGTGTGCCTTCATCAGTGCATGCTTTCTTGTGTGCAGGATATACAAAGGATAACCTTTTCCTACACCATTAGCCAATGTAGGAAAGGGTTAACAGCCTGACCTTCAGACAGAACTCTTGTTGACCCTCCTCTGCAACACTTGTCTGAAAGGTTATGCTCAAAGGGAGAGCTGACTACTAGGAGGGAAAAATCCGAAGAGAAATACTAAGGAAAAGAATACTTCAAAAAAGAATACTTCAGCTTCATTCAGTGCCTGGTGGCCTGGCAGAGAGCAAACCCTCATAACAGACAGTAGAGGACTGTAAGACTCATCCACTGAAGGAACCAGACACAGTAAAAGAAGAAAAATTGTCAAAAGTGTGATTTCTTCATATAATTTCCCAAAAGATTTATTGATATAAAAGAATCAGTAGTTAGAAAAACAGTTAATATCTAGTAATTCAACTGTTCAGTAGGAAAGTACATGGAAGAGCCACCTAGTAATTTTCTCAAAGATTGTCACAGAAAGTCACTCTGTGGTACGGCACTCTGAGCTTCCAGTAGAATGATGCCAGTGCCTCTCCTGCAGTGGGCAACAGTGTGATGTACACCTGGAAATTCCTTGTTGCAAGGTCCTTGCAGGCCCTGATTTTATGCTCTTCAAAATACTGTCTTTCCTACTATCATAGGATTTTCAGAAAAATCTCTTTCAGTTTATCAATTCTCTTCCTTTTTTCTTTTTCTGCCATCTGATTTTTTGTCATCCCTAATAGCTTAGAACCATTTCTGATGCTACTTGTGGTGATGAGTATTGCCAAAATACCTGGGAACATCATGAGTGAAGCTCCAGTTTCTTGACAATCTTTAAGGGAGAATACACCTCTAAAACCTCAGAATGACTGTCAGGTAGACCAATCCTAAACCCTAAAATATATTAGAAACAACACATCTCCATGAGCTTCTTGCATCAGCAAGTCTCATGAACTTAAGATCCTTCTTCAGAGCATTTTACATGTTTTTTTTCTGCAATCTGTCTCAAACTAATTTTTTGTCATTTAAAAACTTGAATTAATGCATTATTTCCTCTGATGACAGGGATATTAGGCTTAAATATTATTTTTCACTAGTAATTTTGTTCTGTTGATTTATGCTCTCTCTTAGTCTCTTCTTTACCCAGAAAATAAACTGAGCTTTTTCCATTCTCAGAGGACAGACTTTCCTTTCCTTAGTTGACTGTACCTTCTCCAGCAAATGTGTGGAGGACAAGGAAGAAAACAATTTGAGGGAAAATAGGCCTCAAAGTTCCAGTATGGTGTTTCAAAACCTGTTTCACATCCTGTATTTGTTTTGCAGGGAGTTTCCACAATGGAGAAGAGGGAAGGTGGTAATTGTGCCATTGATCAGAATACAGGTCAGAACATCATGCCAAGAAGAAATACAGGAAATCTTAACTACTTGGTAATGTTTCTGTGAAAAAGCAGCTCATATGTCAGATAGAATATTGCAGTCCTTAATTCAGTTTTGTCCAGAAATGGTGTTACCATCACACTGGCATATCATGAATATTTCTGAAGTGTTATCACAGTATTGACATGAAGATATAGAAAGATAAAGAACATAGCATTCAATTTAATCATAGTCCATGATAAAAAATAAACAAAGTTTGGAGCAGCTAAAAACTACATGAGGGTAGCTGCTAATTGTATCTTACCAGATGAGCAAAACTCCATAGAAATAATTAGGGATTTTTACACATGAATATAAAATTTATCTTTGGGCGAATCTTCATGATAGCAACATTGCACTCAGGTAGTTTTCCACCTCACGCAAAAAAAGTCTAGAAAAAAAATCCTTTAATCCTTTCTTGTGCATGGCATTTTGGCTACATCATTAAGTCTATAGCTGAAATTTGACATTTGAAATCTATAACTTATATAATAAGCTGAAATGATGCTTCACATAATGTAATCCTTCCTTCCTTGCAGTGTAGTTATCTTCCTGGAATGAAAATCTATTTTAAAATCACTGCAGATAATGAAGAATGGGAAATCTACACTCCAAGTGCCTTATTCAAGTGCTGACTATGCTGTTTGAAATGTTATGTTTCCAAGTTACCTTGTCTTTAATAGTGTATATGTTTTGTATATGGTTTCACTGTCGTAAGTCATAAAAGTCAGGATGGCAAATACTGTCACTACCAAAGTTTTTAATCTTCTCTTGAACTCACTTTGTACTTCCTTTCTGTCCCTTCCAGAATGTGGATATGCAGGTTGCCAGTCCATCAGAAGCAGCTGCACTTTTTGATTTACATCAAGCACACCATTTTGGTGAATTTGAACACTCTTCAGAACAGCACTGCAAGCAGGATCTGTTCCCTAAGTGGCACTTGCCAATGAAGATAGCATCTGTGATCTCATTATTAACATTTATTTACACGTCCATGAGAGATGTCATATATCCTTTTATAACCAGAAAGGAAAATGTTTTCTATAAAATTCCAATCCTTGTCATAAACAAAGTTTTACCAGTGACTTCAATTACCCTTTTAGCACTAGTATATTTACCAGGAATATTAGCTGCTGGTTTCCAGCTGTACTTTGGCACCAAGTATAAAAGGTTTCCCCAGTGGCTGGATAGATGGATGTTATCAAGGAAACAATTTGGACTTCTCAGTTTTTTCTTTGCTACACTGCATGCCTGCTATAGCCTGTGCTATCCAATGAGAAGATCATACAGATACAAGCTGCTGAACTGGGCATTCCAGCAGGTACGATAAGCACGCACACACCAACCCTTCTGTATTCAGAAAATCCTTGGTTTGATCATTCAAGCAAATCTGGATGGAGGAAAGCCATTTTCTCTTTGTTTGGTTTTCACTTTGTTTGGTTTTCAAGTACATTCACAGAGAGCACTGTTGAGGGACTGGGCAGGACCGAGTTGCAAAAGCATGTAATAGAGAGTCAAGAGTCATCACAGCTGTGCCAATGTATATTAAGCAAGTCCTTTTCTTAATTTGGGATTTTTTTTTCCCATCTGTAAAATGCACAGAATTGTATATCAGAGGAACATTTAAGTCTTTGACACACTATTTAGTTTAGTGTAGCTTAATCTTCTCTGGACTAGTGAAATCTAGAAACAAACTGAGCGCTGAACACAACATTTTTAGACACCTTTGGAAACTGAATCAGCCAGCAGTGAAGGAGGGATGAGCTAAATGACGGTAATCTGTATTTGCTCAAACTAAATTTGTGAATACTGATGGCTCATATTTGGACTGATGCACACTACCCGGTTTAAAAAGAGGATTTCAATGATGCTTCTAACTCATGGGCAATGGAGAGTTGGAGCTCCAGTTCCAATGGAGCATGCAAAGCTCTCCTATGTCCTCTGTGACCAGAGAGTTCTTAGTACTCACCTATTTCTTTGGGTGCCATAAGTAATGCAGTATTAGGAATATTCCAATATAAAGTATATGGCAAATGTATGTTTTTATTACCCCTAAAGTCTTTATGATTAAAAATTATTCAAAGCACAATATGATGATGTCAGTAGATCCTTAAGATTCTTGTAAGCAGTCAAATTACCTGTTCAAAACTCTGAAATCTGCCTTACTGGTAATCTGACTTGAATGGATTACTAGAAATTTCCTTGAGATTCCAGTCTTCAAGATGCAGAAATGATCATATTTGGGGCATATTCTGCCATGGTGATCACTAGCAGGATCAAAGTGCTGTTGCAAGTAGTTGTAAATAAGAGAAGCTTTGACAGCAGTTTAATAAAACCACAAATGTACCAAGTTGTGGGTTTTTTTTAAAAAACAGAGGTAAACAACTATCCTGGCAGGATATTTTTATTAAGAAAGCCTGTTGAATTACTTCCCTGAAGTAGTGCTGTTAATATATTTCCTGTTGTTATAATCTCCCTGTTACGGTATTTAGCCATAGGTGGGGTTTTTTCCTTGTCACAACCAAGGTTTATCCTTGCTGTGAAGGCAGGTTAAGAGGCCTCAGAATCAGGCTCTCCTGGGCCGTGACACTGATGAAGTCTAAATTCTTCTCTCTAGAAGCTCACCTTTGCTGTACAAATACTAGTGAAGACTTTGTCATCAGAAGTAAATAGCAGTTTGATTCAAAGATATTCAAACCAAAATACTGTTTTTCTTTGCTTATTTCATTAATATTATGGTGAAAATAGTGAAATTATATTTAACACAAACAGCCAAATGTTCCAGTCTGTAATTTTTATGGTGTTCTTTTGGCAGGTCAAACAAAAAAAAGAAAATGCCTGGATTGAACATGATGTTTGGAGAATGGAGATTTATGTGTCTCTAGGAATTCTGGGACTTGCTTTGCTGGCCCTGTTGGCAATAACATCAATTCCATCTGTCAGTCACTCTTTGACCTGGAGAGAGTTCCACTACATTCAGGTGCGCATGAATGTCATTAGTGCACGTTGTTAGTCCCATTTGTAGAACTGTGTATTATCAGCTAAGACCATTAGGAGTTAGAAATATGAAGCACAGAGTTAGTGAAACCAATCAGAAAGTTTGTTCTGTACTCTTTGTTAACTGATTTGTGAGAAGTGTTCTTTTCATTACTCTTTTGTCAGGAGAACAGGCTGTGTATTCAGTGTATAAAATGGGAAGACAACTATACCACTTTTTTTTCTCCTCCTGACTTTGTGACCAGCAGCAGTTGTCCCTTTGAGACCTTTTCTTAGCTCGGGTGCTGAAGTCATCTTCTAGGTATCTTATCTCTCCGGAATGTCCCATGTCCTGCCAAATTTGGAGCAGGTGGCATTGAACCAGTCAATTTCTGTTCCCATATGACACAGTGTATTCTGAAAGAGACATCTTAGAACAGATGCTGGATAATCAAATCCAGCCAGTCTCGAGTTTGCTCTAGCTGTGCTTTTTTCCTTAACCCAGGCATATGGGTTGCTCTCGATTCTCTTATATCATATGCAGTAACAATCAGTGTTGGATCAAACACTCCTCGAACACCAAAATCTGAAAATTCAGTAAGTACCTGGCATTTGAAGATTTGATTTATATTTTAAAAGCAGATCTGAAGTATATAATCACCAATTCCTGATTTGATATTCTACACACTATGAAGTCCATCATTTGTAAGATAAGTGTACAGAGAATATGGACAAGTCAGGAGGAAGTCTCCAAAGGCATGACTACTTTCACTATTGAAAGATTGATGACTATGGTGAAGAAACCCAGAAGAGTAATACTTCTGTGTTGGACTTACTTTATAAACTAATAACCTTATTGCTTAAAAATCATATTCTGCACATTCAGCAGTTGGAAAGACAGTGTTCAACTTCACTGATGAGTACAAGATTATTTAGTGACAAGAAACTTAAAATTATTAGTAAATTTTCTTTACTCCTGAATTTTGTAGACAAGCTAAGCCAAATTTATCACTGAGTGAAATGAAAGACTTGAGTTTCCTGTAGTTGGGCAGTGCTTTTTCCACAGTACTAGACTTATCAGAGCTTGTGATTTTAATTTAGCTTAAAATTTTCCTTTGCAAGTAATCAATTAATCCCTTAATGTATGTGGTTTTGAACTCATAATGATTTATCACAGAGTTAGAGTAATTTAGTATCCAGATGGCATCTGTAAATTGAGATATTCAGGATTGAGCATGTTTCAGGAATAACCTGCAATCTCTTCTGTATTTTAGCTAAGTATCATAGCAATACTTGAAAAATGTGCCTCATCCATTTTCTTTTACAGTGGCATAAAGGAGTACAGTTGCAGTCTTGGCTTACAGTTCTTACCTTTTAGTTGAAAGCCAATGGTTGCTTTCCTTTGACTTGAGCATGTTGGTCAAGGCCCATCCAGATTTCTGTATTTGCTTAACAGAGTACTTTTTTTGCCAATTTGGGAGAATTAAATAGCTTGCTATTTTCTTTCTCTTTTCAGAGCAAGATGGGATATTTAGCCCTGCTGCTATGCACTGTTCATGCACTGGTGTTTGCTTGGAATAAGTGGGTTGATGCTAACCAATTCATCTGGTATACGCCACCTTCATTTATGGTTGCAGTTTTTCTTCCTATTGTAGTTCTGCTTTGCAAATGCATACTGCTCCTTCCATGTTTTAGGAAGAAGATAAGAAAAATCAGAAGTGGTTGGGAAGCTAAGACACAAGTCAATCAAACTAGCATAACTTCCAGACTGTAGATCAAATATGGACATATCCTGTCTATGTATGTAAATATGCTCAAAGCCATGTTATTTTCACTCATGAGCTCTGTTTTCACATTTGCTATAGATGTTTCTTTCTCACTTTTCTTTTTGACTTAAGGAGTATGAGATGCTTGATGCAATTTTGTTGTTTTCAAGGACAGAAAACAAAAACATTCATTTTATACTTTATTCAGTGTTCTGGTGTTTCATGATTTCTTTCTTCTGCCTCACTGCTTTTAAAATCCAGGCGTTTCATTTTCTCAATCCCAGTTCTTTTGTATGCAAAAGAAAACATAAATAATTTCTCCAGATGACCACAGAATTTAAAAAAATTATTACACTGCAGAGCCCAGGAATGCTTTCTGCTTCACACAGCCATGTGTGTACCTTCATTTAATCTCAGAATTATAATGGGACAAAAACTAGAGTATCATCCCATTGCTTCTTAGCATCTGCAGCCTGTGTTTCACTCTGCAGAATGGGGACCTTGGCATATGAACCAGACAGAAACTGTGTATTCCTGCCAGGTTTTGAATGTACACAAGTGGGCAAGCAGAATTACAGGGATCTTTACGAAGTAAATATCTCCTGAGGCTTGGGCACAGTCTAAAAAAGAGTTTTTAGACTCAGATCTCCGTTTTGTCCAGGACTAGGTGTGTCTCTGTTTACTTGAAACGATAAAACATTTCCCATTTTTTATTCCATGAACACATTCTTTTGTTTCTGATGCTGGAAATTTTCCATGCTTTTGACCTAAGCCTGCAGCCCTTGACATGTGCTAAAGTTTATTTGCACAAATTATTCCAGTGGGATAACTCCATCAGGTAAATGTGTTTTTTTGTTTACTCTAGGGCTAGCACAATTGTGTGACTGGAAGAAAAACATTAAAAATAGACATTTGAATCTTGCTATTGATTTGGTGAGATTCTCATGTTAAATGGTTTCTAAGTGCATTTGCTTTTACAGAAATTTTCCTAATATCTTTAATATGCTCCTTAAATCCTGCTTTCCTTATATTGCATGGGTCTGGCTGAAAGTTGTAAATGAATAATTCATTTGTTAGTATCAGTTTTGAAATATGCTATTCAGTAGTAAATATTTTCACCCAACATTTCTGCCAGTCTGCCTGCAGAAGTTGACTAGGACATGTGGACTGTTGATGCCACCTATTTCTGGAATCCTCTGAATGAGAACTGTAATTGGTAATGGCTCTGGTATTAAACAGGAAAACAACATATGCCTAAAAAAAATATATGGTGCTAATGAATCTGTTGTCCCTTTCTGGACTTTTATACGGAGCATAAATAAATAAGCAGAAAAATTAAATAGCTACAGGGATATTACATTTTGTATTTTCCTGGTTGTTAACATTCAATTATTGCAACTTAAAAGTTGGCCTTTTTTAAATTTACACATATAATACTGTGAAAGTAACTGGGGACATGGTGGCCTGTATAATATAGATTGAAATCTGTGGCATTATGTATCAAACCTGTAATACGTGGCAGAGGCCAATACCCTTTAATACAGGAAGCTGGACTGCAATGTTAATCTAAGTTTCTAACAGAGCAGGAAAAGTATGGTGCTCAATGTATTTGCATTTATATTTCTATGAATGAAATAAATCTTTTTTAAGTTTAAGTTCTATGCACTTGTTACAGAAGGTAGTGTAAGGTAGCATATTTCCTTAATTTCAACCAGTTAATATGGTTTGAATTGATAACATAAATTACAGGGGAAAATCAATTTCAAGATCATCACAACTGACCACTACCCAAACTGACCTTTTACACTCATCATTCAGCTGGGGACATTAAGCACACTTCAGACTTTTCTCTCTAGCATTGCCCAGAGGCAAACTCAGAAGTGTCTTCTACAATATGAAATTTACATACATTCTACAAAAGCTATTAAAAAAAATCACACATGACATCGAAACTTTAAGCATGTTTTCCCCTATTGACTGTTTTATGTAGGAGCCAAGCTTTCTGTGTCACATCTAGCCCTTTCTCTGGAAGCTACCACTGAATGCTTATAGCCAGAACTTGAGACTTCATATTGAGTCTCTTCCCTACTTTGTAAGTCTTTTGTCAACTACATATCAGTAACTAATTTCCCAGTCTGTAGGCTGCTCAGGGAAGTGGTTGACTCACTATCCCTGGAGGTATTTAAAAGACACGTAGATGTGGTGCTTAGGGACATGTTCTAGTGGGAGGCTTGGCAGTGTTAGATTCATAGTTGGACTCAACTTAAATGATATTATGATTTGCTCTTCAGGAATTCAGTGAGGGAGATCTATATAGGGCTAAGAAGAAAATGCCATTGACAGTATTTATTTTCTCCATTTGTAGCAGACATGATTTAGTTCAATACTGATGAAACTAAGTTCATATGTATCTTTTAATTTATGTTTATGTACCTGTTTCAAAATTCAGTATATTAATAGGCCTGTATATTATTGTAATACATTAATTGAATGTGTGTGCACATTTTAGGCACTTATTTGTATAACACTAATTAGTTTTATAAAACTCTGCATCATTAAATGCTTCAATGTATGCTGTATCTGCCATTGTGTCATATACATCCAGTGTCAAAGGGTAAAAAGGCACACTATACTCTAGAAGAGCTGGTGATATAAACAGTTATGGGGAACCATTTTCTTCATGCTAGTGAAGAGCCTGGAACCTCCAAAGGAAAGAAAATAAAGATGTAAAAGTAAAATGAACACTTTCATAGTGTAATGAAATTGCATTTTTCTTGATGGTACCTTTAACTGTATGTAATAGCATCCAGAGGTTTTGTGAGAAGGAAAGAAGGCTTTGGAGGGATACCCAAGATCCCTGGAAATACTGATCAAAGAACAAGAAAAGTTCAAGAATAGCAAGGGCATTGAGGAAATGCATATATGGGCATATTTTTGTGTAGGAATCCATCATTCTAGAGGCAATGGCTTTAAAATGTCTCTACAAGGCCGGAAAAGTACTTTTTTTCTGTTGTTACATGTCTCCAATGTATTTGAGAGACACAGAATTGAAACTTTGGAGATACTAATTCCTAAAGGGGCCTGAGGAATTTTATGCCAAATTCATTTGGAGGGGTCACATCCAGAATACTTTTACCAAGAAGTGTTAGTTCATTGTTCAGGAAGCTAGAGCCAGGGCTGTGTTGGCTATTGTGTAATGCAAATTTCTGTTGACAGCAGCATTTACTGTAAGCAGTCCCTCCCTTTGGCCACTCTTCTCTGTTCTCTCAGTGCTGAAGTCTTGAAAGATGTGAGGTTCATCAGAGTGGGGCATTGGATCCAGTTGAAAAGTAATGCAGAGAGAAGAATGATTCAGCCAGATCCACTCATGTGTCTGATTGAGCTGACAGCCATGCCATATGTCAGTAGGAAGGACAGGAAGAGGAGTAGTGTAAACAGGCAGTTTAACTTAAACCAGCCCTAAATGAAAGGTTCCAAGTGTTCCTAAAAGTTAAAACTTACATTATTTCATCCTATTTCAGTAGCAAGAATATTCCCTTGCTTCACTTTTTTGTCATGTTCTTAATTTTCCATGAATCAGTGGGCAAAAATGCATTCTAGAAATTGTCATCAAAACCCATATGAAACTGACTGACCTCTACATGACTGTGGGCTGTGTGGTTTCATTTGGAGAGATGATGAGCTCACATCTCCTCTTTTTTCCTACACCCATAGTTTCTAGTACTGTCCCTTAACCATTTTTTAAATTCAAAATAATTTCTTTTAAACTTAATTTCTTTAAATGGCATGAAAGGAATAATTCAAAACAAAACAAAAAGACCAATTTTTGAAAACACACTGGATCCACCTCTGAAGAATGTCATCTGCTGTAGTTGCTGTAAATGTCTGGCCGTGGTTGATCATTACCACTGATGTTTTTCAGTAATGCTAGAGTTTCATCATCCCATGAGTATATTCTGTTGCTGATGGCAAAATTACTTATTTTCTTGTTATTTCTTTTATTAAAACAAGTCTCATTTAATTCAATTGCACCAGGGTTCAATTTTTGCATTATTTTTTGAACTTTTCTGTAGATTAAATTTAACATTTGAATGGGTGAAATGAGGCTAATTTATTAAGTAGGCATAAGTTTTCAGAGATTTTCAGCTGAAGATCCATAAAACCAATTCACAAACCAAACTCTAAAAACATAAAAAATACCACAGCTTATTTCAATAAAGATGATACAACAGAAATTTGAGTTCTTTCATATTTTTTGTTTCTTTTTATGTATATTTCATCTTCATAGCATGAAAGTATATTACTGAGATAAATATGCTATGTCTTTGACTTGGTTAAAGATGTGTAGTCTCTGTGGGACTTGCAGAATACTACCATTGCTACTGATAGAAGTATTTGGTCATTAAATTTCATGGTTTTGGGCTGACTACTAAGAAAGAAGTGAGGCAAAAGTGGAGATTTTTAAACTGGATGGTCAAATTTGTAGTTTGCAGTCATGTACAGTCTTTATATACACACTTAACAATTTATTGTTGAATGTACTCAACTGAAAAAGAATTTTCCACCTGAGTATCTCCATTACTTGGAATGCTGAGAAGTATCTTATTGCTGGACTTACAGGAATGGCCATATAATCTACCTCTAATTGGTTCTGCTTTATTTTTTCAGTCCAGTGACTCATATATAAAAATGAATGGCACTTCTGTCTTGCCTGTACCTGTGCATGTACCAGAATAACTTCTGAACAGTGCATCTCATTCATTCAATAATATTCTAAATATATAGCAGGAAATCCTTAAAAAGAAAATAAACAGGAAACTGGAACTGGAAAAAACAAGTTGCTTTCAGAGCTCCTCAAGTATCTCTGCAACTTTAGTTTAGAAATCTAACAGTCATTAGATGTCACCCATAATTAAAATAATGATGGCATTCCCCCTTCTAATTTCCAATAGACTTTGTACATCTTTATTTATTCACATAATTTTTTCACATCTTTATTTATTCCCTGATAATTAATGACAGACCAAAGTGTATTCTGGGACAATGAAGATTGCAGAATGCAAAGAGGCACCAACATGGAAGTAGAAGGAACACGACAACTGGAGATATGTGAAAAAGAGGAAAGGACGCATTGCAAGCACTTGGATTTTCTTATGAAAGAGTAAAGGTGCCCAATGGATGTTAAAGGATAAAAATAAGTAGGTGGAGGATACTGACTGAGATCAGTGAGCATCATTAAGTTAGGAGGGAATAGAAATCCTTAGTAAGAGAGATGGGTAAATGGAGGACAGCAATGACTGGTGGGAGAGTCTGAAGACACTGAAGTGAATCCTTGAAACAGAGGGGATGGGAGGGTTGGCTATCCACATAGAGCTGGGAAATGGAATGATTAAAAAAAAAAAGCCCAGGTATGTGTAGAGTTTGACCTGCAGAACCTATTAAGTTGCAAACATTTCTCCAACCCTGAAACACCATTTGATGCATTTCGGGGGAAATCTGTTCAAAATCTGCTGATACAAATGAAAACCAGCAAGGTTTTAAGTGGGTCAGTGACATACCATTTCTGAAGTTTGGGGACCAAGTCATAGATATTGCTCCACTTTTCATAATGATATATATATAAACTGAGTTAGTTTCAAATAACAGCAGAGGTTGCTGTTTTATCTCCTGGTAAAGTGTACATTGTGCTAAACAAAGGAAAACTCTCATGTAAGACACAATGAAAGTAAAACACTCTTAAACATTACTTATGCAAAATAAGGAACCAACTGAAACCAGACTTAGATGGTGCACTACACTATATTCAGAATATTCTTAAGAACTTAAGTTTTATCTTTGTACTGATACCACTAGTCTACTTCAAGTATTAAATCATTTAGTTCTTGCAGAGGCAAAATTCCCAGTGAAATCAATGGGACTTTTACTTAGCTATTTAGAGTAAGATTTGTCCCCTACAGTCGTTGAAATACTTCATATCTTCGTTGTCTTTGATGCAATTACCAATAACTTTTTCACCTCCTCTAGTGTTTGGGATGGACTCTATCCTGCCATGTACCTTCCATCAAGGCAGCTTTTATCATGTGAACAACAATTAAATTTGTTACCATTTTTTATTATCTGCCTGCCCTGAAACACTCCATATCACAACACAGCAGCTGTGCCATGCAACGTCACAAAGTTTTATTCAGCCCTGTTTAACATATTTTCTCAGTTATTCCTTAGCACCTCCACCCTGGTTACAGAGAAGGAGCCTGGTGGCCTTGCTCAGTGGTTTATTCTATACCACAAACATCATTGCTGGGAGCTGGTGTCAGCAGGAAAAGTTGGGGTGCTGGAACCAGGGATGCACCTGGCTTGCCCCGGCGGAGGGGCTGTCACCATTAACCCTGCAGACCTCGTCCCTCTGCCACTCAGACTTCCCTTCCTGTTTTCTCTGGACCACAACCATGGACCTGTGGTGCTGATGGGACACCTGTGAAGTGCAAACGAGCCAGCAGGCCAGGCAGCATGGAGTCAGAACTATGGGAAGCGTCAGCCATCTCGGGGTTTTGTTCCTGGTGGTAAATAGCCCTTTGTGGGTAAAACATCTTCTCTTTTGCATACTTTTGTTGTTAATAAGAACTGCTGTTATTATGGTGCATTTCTTATTCCATTGCTTTGTTCTTTTAATAAATTGCTATTTCAATGCATATTCTGTGCTTTATTATCCCTCCCTTACCAGAAGGGGCAGGAGAAAGGGAGTGGCATATTTGGAGTGTAGTTCCCTGCACCAGCACAACATCCCTGGAAACTCTTCCACATAATTGAGTTCTAACCTTTCTGACACCAAAGTGCTAAAAACATAAGGGAAAATTGGTGGTGGGGAATGCTAATGGTGAGGAAGAGAAAATTATGTACATACGGTAAATAGGAATGAGATACACTTAGCTACTAGAATGAGGTGAGGGTGAGTGAATGAAGCAGGGGGAAACTGTGAGCCTACAGAAAGTTTGGGAGATGGAAGGGGGGTATAATTTAATTATAATTTAATGGCCCCCTTCCCTAGGTTTTCACATTCTATTCCAACCTTATCCTCCTTGATGCCTCTCCCCACCTTAGATCCCTCTCTAAACATCCCACAGTAAGCCTTGCACATTCTTACAGTATCCCTAAAATAGCCAATAATAATTTTCAGATAATTATTTTTCCCTTGCATATCAAGTCTCACATCTCTTTGAAAAAACACTCCTTCAGTTCACAACGCATTCAGGGGAAACAGTTTCCTCCTCTGATGACCCTGGCAGTTTTCACCCCAGTGGCAGTGATCTGGTCATTCCCCTTGGATAGTCTTGGCAGTAGGCTTCATTTTCATTGATCAGCTAGCTGGGCTTCCTTCACCTGTTATTGCTTCTCTGAGCCTGTTGGGTCTTTGTTTTTGCCACAATTAGCCTTTGATAATTTAATCAAATTTAATCAAAATTTAAGCAATACAGAGAAGTGCTTCTCACATGAGCAGAGTGTGGAACAGCTGCATTACAGGAAGAGACTAAAAAGGTGGAGGAGCTCTTCAAATGAAAGGGGAGAAGGTAGAAGGGGATTAAATAAAGATTTACAAAATATTGAAGACAGTGGACAAGATAAGCACAGAACAATTTTTAACCAAATCTACCTTACCAGGAATAGAGGGGATTCAATAGAAATAGTACTAGATCAGTTTGCAACTTATTAAGAATGTGCATCTTTTGCAGTGAACAAATTCTGGACCTTGCTGCCACAGAGGGCTGTGGAGGCAAACAGAATCAGCAGGTTCAAAAGGAGGTTAGACAAACCCAGAAACAACAGCCCCTAAAGCAATACCAAAAGGGCTTTGTAGGTATGTAGCCTATGACATCACTAGGGTAAATATGGATTTGGGAAGAGAGTACAAAATACAGTGCCCAAAATTGCACACTCTCCTTAAACAGCATTTTGTTTTGCTGCTCTTAAACATGTTTAGTGGGTTAGATAGGCTATTGGTCTGACCAAGTATGGTTTCTAATGTTCCCTTACAGCAACAGTAAATCATTCAGACTAATACATTCCTGTAAGTTACATGGCTGGAAAACAAATATTTTAGGAATGACCAATTCTAAATAAAAAGCTATTGCTTTGATAGTGAAAAATTACTTAACTCTTAGGATCTGTAGCAATTCGTTGGTCTCAGTTCATATCTGTGGAATTAACTACATAATTCTTGATAGGACTGGGAATTCAATTAGTATTTAATTACTCTATAAACATACAGATTTTCCTTTTACAGTGCTAAGTTGCTAC